GTACCTTCAATCAATCAATTATCTCGTGTGTACACTCTAAATCAAAATATCAGGATTATCCATCATGTGTTAAGAACTTCAATTATTCATAAAGTTGGTGATCATATAAACCTTACTCCTTTACTTTCCATAGTCACTTATCTTATAATGTCGAATACTCAAATTGATGAAGCCCAATTGATTCTGGACTACATCAACAAACTAATAGACATTAGACTTCTTTCCACTAGAAGGAAGAAGAATGTGGATTTAAGACATCTAATTGTATATATCCTTGATAATAAGTACAATTTGATTCATCATGAACCCCCAAACAATTTGCCAACCTTCTTTACCAATGCTTCTTTCCATTTTCATTTTCACCGAGAACAGGGAGATGAAATGGGAGGAGAAGAAAAGGTTCAAGCACCATCACTTGTACCTACTCCTGGACCTAAGCCGCATTTCTATAAAGAAATGGTCTAGAAATATTATCGACTTGAATCCAACTTTGATCAATAATTTGATCATATTGATACTCACCTAGACCAGCAGGATGCCATATATAATAAAGATATGGGCTGGATTAGAGGACATTTTGGCTTAATCAACACTCAAGTATCAATTATCAATAGCTACTTTATGATGTTCACCCCTCCTCAGCCTCCTCCAGATAAAAATTCTCTAGCATATTAGTTTTCATTTTCTATTTTAGATGTATTTTTTACTTTTTTAGATTTCATATTATGGCATTCAAATGTTTGTGTTATCGTTTTAGCTATATTCATATTTGTATCTTGAGTTTGTTTAAAAAAAATGGAAAATGGAATGATATTTATCTTGTTTTGATGTTAATCTTTTTGAATTATTTTAATTTTATATAGACTAATCAAATGTAATTGATCTATGGAATGAAATTTTAAAATACTTTACTCTACAAATTAATTTCATTGTTAAATTTAATTTGTCAAAATTTTAAATTAAATTATGATTAGATGTAGATTAGAATATCATCTTCATATTCTTTTAGACAAATATTAATAACTATAATTGTTTCAAAAGTGGTGTCTTATTTTTATTTTATTTCTTGTTCAATTTATTTATTTTTGTTAATTATTAGATTTTATTTTAAGATTTATTGATATCGAAAAGGCCAAAATTATAAAAAGATGCACAAAATGTACCATAAGTTTAAACGATATGTAATGTTCGCCAAAAATAAAAATAATTACAAAATTAGCCTAACTGAAAAAATGCATAAAGCATGCCAAAATTTGGAAAGATGCACAATGTCACCAATCAAAAGTAACATACAGTTATTTTCTTTATCTTTCTATTTCTTACACAAATCTATTCAATCAATAATAATCTCCACTTTTGAATTGGAAACTAATTGATCTTTATTTCAACATTTTTGTAATAATTATTTTATTTGTAGGTATATAATAAATAATGAACATGGTTGACTTTTCTTTTCTTAATTGTTCTTTGATTTAAAATTTGAGGCTTTTCTTTTCGCATAAGGACATTAATGCTGTCTTTGCAAATAGTTTAAAATCCTTTTCTTCATTATCTATTAGATTTGTCAACAACAACTTACTTTTTTAAGAGGTACTTCCCATTTTGCTGTTGTCAAAAGGGGGAGTCATTATTTATTATTTATTTATTTGTTTGATTTAATAGTGTGTGTTTGGTCTGTTTATTTATTAGTTTGACGAGTTGTTATGTTTGATATGTATGTGTTTTGTTTTTTAATTCATTTTGGTTTTTGAATTCATTGTGATCTTGTATTTTTCACAAATCCCTTGCTTTTTAATTGAGCATTCATTGAGGGGGAGCTTTGGAGAAAAAGGACCTTTAATGTTAATTCGAATAATAATTATTTTGTCATCATAAAAAAAGAGGGGGATTGTTGCAACTTAGAATTCAAGATTGAGTTTTATGTAATGTGTTTTTTTTCATAATAACAAAATATTATTGTTATGATTACTATTTTCTCCCAACATATATTAGATATATTTTTGTTTGTTTTGTGTGTACTAACATTTCAAGGAAATCATATTTCATATAACTGAAGACTTCAAGATAGAGTAGAATAAGATTTTATGTAATGAAGTTAGTAATTTTTATTTTCTTGAGTCATAGAGAGTTTCATTGAAATTGGGTAACTGTTCACACACACACAGGGGGAGAGACTTAAAATTGAAATTGGAAAATTTTTAACCCATTTTGTACTATACGATGTTAGTTTGTATAGACGACTAACAATGTATGAGATTATCTTCATACCAGATCGTCCAGATGAATTTTAACAATTTATACAAACGATCTAAATATCATATAGACGACTGACAGTGTATGAGATAAGCTTCATAACATATTGTCTAGATGAATTTTAACTGTTCATACAGATGATCTCAATATCATACAGATGATTGACAATGTATGAGATAAGCTTTTTCCCAGATCATCCAAATGAATTTTAACTATTCATACATATGGGTTGTAAATCGTACAAATGACTAATAGTGTACGAAATAGTACTCGTACCAAATCGTACCATTATTTTTAAACTATTCGTACAGACGATCCATGATTGTACTATACGATCTGACTCATTTTCACTTTTAAATTTTAGTTTTTGGATGATTTATTATGTGCTTTCTATATAACAAGTCCTAAAAACTGATTATCGATCTATTTGCTGCAAATTTCTCTTGAGAGTAAAAAGGAGAGTGATTTGGGAGAGTATTTGGGAGTGGAGAGTGAGAGATCTTACAAGAGGAAATTGTGAGAGATTCACAAGGTTCCCTAAAGGTGAGGATCTCTTAGTTGCTTTTCAAAACTCTGTCCTACTTCTTTGATGACTCTTGAGAGAAGATCTCCATAATAGATCGGGTACTCTGCCTTCACCAGGAGGATGAAAAAGAATGACAGTACTCTGCCTTCACTAGGAGGGTGAAAAAGGATGATGATACTCTACCTTCACTAGGAGGGTGAAAAAAAATGACGGTTCTCTGCCACACCGGGTTGGTGGAAGAGAGGTTTTGTTAGGGTTTTCTCTACCTTGTTGTGGGAGCAAAATGAGAGTCACTTGTGTTTAGTATAATACCTGGAGAAGGAGTCTCTAAGGAGTGGACATAGGTCTAGTTAGACCGAACCACTATAAAATTTAGTGTTCTTCTGGTCTTTTACTTTTTGTTATATTTTTATTTTCTACACTTTATATTATTGTGGTTGAAATTTTTTTTTGTAAAAATTTATTATTGTGTAAAATTTCTTAAAACGTTTTTCTAAAATCCAAGAGATTTTTTTAAAAATACAAATTCACCCCCTTTTGATTAGCTTTGGTATAGTTCTATTAGGTCTAACAACCTGCATGAACTTTTAAAAAATCTAAACCTGAACTAGACCTGACATACTAAACCAAGAGTGCACAGAGTAAGAGAGCATCAATTGTGGGGAAAATAGGCAAGTAGGAATGTGTTGGTGCTACCACAGGTGGTCTAGGGTGAGGCCGAGAGGGAGCTAGCAGGACCAGATGCGTGCGCAAAGCCAACTTGGGTGCGTGCAACATGAGCATTAGTGTGAGGCTGCTACTGTGAGAGTGGAGGGGGGGGGGAGATGGGATGTAGGAAATTTTTGGGTTATTAAGTTGACACAAACACGGCCTTATTTTTAAAAAGGGTCAAAAATCAGAACTTGAACTTGACCCATTTGCTAAATGGGTTTAACCCTAACCCAAATCTTTTGGGCGGAGTTCTGGTCATGCTATTGGGTCGTGTCATTATTTGACACCCCTAATAGAAGCGACATATAGAAAAGCCTCGAAGGACCTTCACTCTCTTCTCTCTCCCTTCTATTCACCTCCTCCTTTCTTTCCTTCGCTGACAAGAGAATGAAATGGAGGAGGGAGACTTAGGTGGTGAGGGATAATTATATTGAGTACATTAAAAATATTATTTAACACCCAACACCGTAGTGCCTAACTTCCTAGTGCCAATGTGCTGCATGTCAATCTTATAGTTTCTATAGAAAAAAGTCTATTATGCCATGATGGTAGTTCCTAGCGCCACAATGCTGCTTGTATAGCGCCGCAACACTGTATGCTGGTTCCAGATTTTTATTTTTCAAATAAATTTATTTTAAGAATTTTAGGTTATTATAGTTCATACCCAATTTTAAAAAAACTTTTCTGAAGACTAAATGTTTTGTTTTGACTGAGTTTAAACATAAATTTGAATAAGAATTGGATAAGATTTCAATGAAGTTCAATGCTATGTTCAAATATAATTCCTCTATTAAAAGATATGGTCAAAAATATATGTTTAAATGTGAAGTTCCACTAAGGTTCAAAAAAAGGTTAACCAAAATTTGAACCATGCATATTTAGTTTGAATAACATTTGAACCTCTATTTCAATCTCTGTTTTGAACATTGATTTTGAAGCAAATAGTTGAGCCATATGTTTGAACTTAGTTTATATTTTATTCAAATGAAATTTTAGGTTTAAAACTTGTTCAGCTTAAGTTCAAATATATAGCATGGGTTTTGAACCTTGTTTGATGTTCAATTCAAACCTTACTGTTTTTCAAATTTCATTTTTGAACCTAGGGTTCATATCACTTGTTCAAATGTGGAAGTCCAATCCATCACCTTCTTTTTTTCCTTCTTATTGTAACCTAGGACTACCAAAATTAAAAGAATTGGTAATGCATCCTAAGTCAATAAAGAAAATAATATAAAATATATCTTTGAAGTGGATATACTTGTTGAAGGATTTGAAAGAAGATCCTTATGATGAGAAGAGATTATCACACATTAAAAATAATCTTATTCAAATTAAGCTTTGAGATATATTTCTCAACAAAATAAGTAAATTATTTACTAATAATATATATTAAGACATAAAACAAAATTCTCAATAAAAATCTGTTGTCAATTTCTTTGTTCCAAACAAACTTCTATCCATTACTATTCCTTATTTTACTCTCATCCTCCCAACAAAAATCACACCCTCTACTTCTCCTCCATTTCTCTGTTCCCTTCTCCATTTAGCCTCTCCAAATCCAAACAAAAGGATCGCTTTCGCTCCCGAACAACTGTAAGCAGAAGAACAACGAATTCGGAAGAAGAAGAGATTGAAACCGAAAAGTTGAAAGAAAGAAGATAAGGTTGGACTTGATGCGTCGCCAGCGATTCGGCGGAAAGCATTCTGTATGCATCTGAAGAAATCAGAGGCTCAGATCGGCGAGGAAAGCTTTGGGTTCTCCTCCGATTTCAGCCCTCCTCCTTTCCTCCAGATTCACATCTCAAACCCTAGCACAGACTATGGCTTCTCCACTCAATCCTCTCAGTTTGCCGCTGTCTACGGCCTTCCTCCAGCCTCTACCCCACACAAGCGCCCCGTCATGAACCACCCAGTGGCCGCCGCCGCTGCTGACTGCCGCCCTATTTCCGCCGTCCGTCTACCGACCTCATCTCCTCGCCGCGTCTTGCTCCGCCTTCCCTTCTCCAACGGGACCCGTTCCGCCCTCTGTCACCTTTTTCGCCGTCTTCGCTTCCGCCTCCGCCTCGTTTTCCTCCTCTCCTTTCCCTCTCTCTACTTCCTCCTTGTCACGTTTTCCTCTTCATCACTCTCTCCTCCCTCCTCTTCTTCTGGGCGCTCTTTCCTTTTAGACTTCTTCTCTGCCGTCGCCTTCTCCTCTGCGACCCTTTTCTTCCTTTCTTTATCTCTCAATGTCTTCTCGCTCTCCTCCCTCCGCCTTCTACTCTCCCGCTCTTCCTCCCTGCTCCCTCGTTACCACCGCATTACCCCACGTCCCGTGCAATGGTCCATTGGCTCCGCAGTCGAAAAACCCAAATCTGACATGAGTGCTGCCTCTGGGTTCTCCGTCCAGGTCTACAATAATGGTGATGTCTTTGAGGGGGAGTTTCACAAGGGCAAATGCTCTGGTAGTGGGGTTTACTATTACTACATGAGTGGGCGGTATGAAGGGGATTGGGTGGATAACAGGTATGATGGTTATGGAATTGAAACCTGGGCGAGGGGGAGCCGTTACAGGGGGCAATATAGGCTGGGTTTACGGCATGGGTTTGGTGTGTATCGGTTTTACAATGGAGATGTATATACTGGGGAATGGTTGAATGGACAGAGCCATGGATATGGTTTGCATGCTTGTGAAGATGGGAGCAGATATGTAGGAGGTTTCAAGTGGGGGGTCAAGCATGGCCTTGGGCACTATCATTTCAGGTAAACACTTTTGGATTCTATTTTGATTTATTTTACATTGCATGACACATAGCAATTGGTGGAATTTTGGTCATTTTCTTCTATAATGTGTACATCGGTTGGTGGTATTTGATCCGGCATAAGCTCTTAGCCATTTATTAGATGATTATCAGAATATGCTTATTGAACTCTCTAGGCTCGTTGGCTAGTTTATTTTATGGAAAGTGTTTCCAAACATGCTGAAATTTATTTCTTTATTTTTGTATTTGTTTAATTACTTGGTCTAGTGGTATATGGTATATGGTGCTTTTTTTCCTTTTGATTTTCACAATGAAAAATAGCTGTGCCGTGCTTGTAATTCGTTGTTAATTTAGAAGTAATGAATCCTAATAAGAAAATTATTAAGGAACTAGATCACTAATGAGATAAAATAAATTCAAGCCTCAAACTAGTGTAAGGAGATATCGTCCTTGAAAGTTGTCTGTCACGCTTATACTACACTCAAAGGAGTCCAATATTCAATAATAGTAAAATACTAAGAGAAAATATATGGAATTGATTTATTTAAACTATTATATGCTTCAAAAGTTCTATTTATTAGACTTTGAATTCCTTTTCCGTCCAAGTCTGTATACATAGATAAGGCATAGGTTATGGCACAAGCATAATAAGATCTCAACTATAATTCAATTGTAAATCCTGTGTAAATCACCCCAAACAATGATCTGGCAATTGTAGATACAATGAACCAACAAATCTCATAGGCCAAATGGTAGATTAGTGAATACCAGTCTTAAAGGAGTGAATATCAAGGACCATCAACAAACAATGAGCAGCAATGCATATATAACCAATAGTAGCAAATAAAAGAATGATATAAGGTCCAAATCCTCAAGTAATAATATTTAAAGTTCATGATCATAATACATATGATTCCACTTCAATTCTTAACATAACATGATTTGCGTTTTTTATGATTGTAAATTTTTAGATTTCTATCAAATTTATCTAAATTGAAAAAAAAACTCTGATAAATTTAACATTTGACATTCATTAAGTGAATTAGGGCATAATTGTTATCATCTTGCAATATAATTGAGTCATCATATATAGGTCCATCAAGGTATATGAGATATCTTCAGAATCCACCATTGATTGTAAACACGATCTCATTATCAAACATGGCTTCATGACCAAGCTGTGTTGGTTTTTCTAACCAAGTGTTGGATGCAAATTTATAAGGATGTAATAAAAAGAGCGACGAATCCAATTAATTTATAGCAGGTTCATGAAATAAGTTCAAATTATACATTTTGAAAACTAGATTAATGAAGAGTTTTTTGAAATTTCTAAATTATAGACATTCGTTCAAATGCCCTTATCTTTCCTCGCATTTAATTTTTGAAATATTCATGATTGAAGCTTTTATTAATTTGAATAAATCATGAACACGATAAAAGTTAATGTACCTCGTGTTCAAATCAGCAAGAAGCTTATAATTATCATAATTGTTGCCAATTGTCTATGAATATCATCATCTAATTCATGTAAATCATGCAAATTATGTAAATTATATGAGACACTGACACTGAAGAAAATGCTAAAATTCTGATATTCATCCTAATGGATACTAATAATAATCTATTACTAAATTCTTGAAAATTCTAATAAAATTGTAAGAAAATATACCATATAATCATGACATGCTGATAAAGAAAGACCACTTTAGAAAAGACTAACTCAAGTGGTTTAAATAACTTTTGATGAATCGTACACCTTTAGTATAGCTTAGATGGATGAAATTTAAATTGCAAATTTTTTTTAGTAAATTACATTTAACAAATTCTCTAAAATGATGGCACTTCTTAATTTTCTCTATGAAGTTCCTTTTATGATGTTGAGAATTAAGAAACCAAGAATAAAATGCAAATTGATTTCAGTCATATCATTCTTCATAGGAATAACATAAATGACAATATAATCTTGCATTGGAGATTTTCAATAGGTTTTAGACATGATGTTTCTGAGTTTTCTATAGGAGCACGCATAGATGCAATAGGTCTAATAGAATAGTAGTTGAAATGTTTTTTATATCGAAAGTTTCGTATAAAACGTCATGCAATGAATTTGATAAATTGTAGCTTTCATACCAAATTTTGTACTAAGACCTTACTAAAACAAATAATAATAACAAAGTAATCTAAAATAAATTCATGTTTAGCTACGATAGCTATTGACGTGGACATCAGTAGGAGATTCCGGAATGTCTACCTCCGGAAGCATCGTAAATCGACGGCTACGATGAGGAGTTTATATATTTGATATATTTTATGTATTAGTTCATATTTACTTTATTTATGTTTGTACCCTTGCTTGTGTAACACTGCCGTTGCCAGGTCCCAAGTCCTGGATGAGAAAAGTGGAGGGTTGCGTTAGGTAGTCGACAGCCAGCGTAAAACTTGTCGAACAATAATGACATGAATCCTTTAAGAAATTGTTAGCCGACCCCACGTAGTGGGATAAAGGCTTGATGTTGTTGTTGTTGTTGTTGTACCCTTGCTTGTGTGTTGACTTGAGTTGTAGCCCTATGGGCATTTTAGTCATTTATTTTCTTTTTCTATGAGGCCTATATATTAGGTCCTTGGTATTGTATTTTGCTGATGATGATTATGAAAGAAAATTTCAGTTTTTCTTGTTTGATCTCTTTGTGAGTTCTTGAGAGGAGAAACCCTAGGAGAGGGCCTTGCAACTCCCGTCAGCCGCCGGTGGATTCTGGGACTCGCGGTTCATCGTCGTCTCCCCCTTCACATCTGGCCACCCTATCTCCCTTTCCCCACCGCCGACCACCCAGCCTCTCTCACCCTTGATGATGATTTCAATCATCATTAGCACCTTCCTAAATTAGCAAAATTAATTTGGGAAAAGATCTAATTAAATTTAAAATTCAATTTGAATTTCAAATACTTTCCAAATTAAGAAAGCTAAATTAGGAAAGTTTCTAGATTTTATTCAATTTAATTTTAAATTTGATTGGATATCTTTACTTCATCCCTAATTTAGAGGAGTAAATTAGGAAGCTCATAAATTCCCTTCCCAATCTCCTCCCCCTCTTTACAAGCCACCGACCCCCTCCATGGGCAAATTCCCCTCTTGCCTAATCAACCCCTAACACTTATTTAAATTTGAAATTCTTTTACCTCCCCATTTAATTAAACCTGAAATTAAATTCAGATTTAATGCCCTTTCCATAACCTAAACCATGGACCGAACATAACTCTAATTCCCTCTACTCTTGGCCGGCCATCTCCCTTGTCCACCCTCTTGGAATTCTCCAAGTCTCATGAGCTCTCTTGCAAGAAAGGAAGTCAAGCATCTCGCCTCCAACTTCCCACTAGTGCATGGTCGATCCCGACGTTGATCACGGGTTCATTATATGATAATCAAGAAAGAACAGACCTTCTTCGATCCCCATTCTTTGATTTGAACTTGGAGGTTGACGAAACCGTCGAATGATACATCGATCGCATTATATTCACCTTAGTTCCTTTCATCGATGATGTAGACAAAGGGGGGGTCAACACAAGTCCAAAATAAATCAGATTTTGGCTTCCATTGAGTCTACTAGCTCAATCCAATTGAGCTAGAATTTTAGCTCATTTATGAGCTAGGCTTTAGTTCATTTATTCCAACCTTTCTTCTCGGGCTTCTAACCTCTTTCGTCTCTCCGCAAGTGCCACTCCACCTGTATCCTTCTTCTCCAAGTGCAGTAACTTTAGGGTGTCTTTTTAATTTTATTTGGAGTCCTTTGTATTCGTGTCGAGTTTTGTAATTTTAATTTCTTTTATTTCTTTAATTTGAAATATAAGAGTTTGTTCGTCGTTTTTCTCGTCTCTTTTTCAATTTCGTCGGTAGAAGTACGTCGTCTGTTAATGTCGTGCAAGAAATATAGGGAGCCTATAGTTGTTGCCCGCATCAATCGAGGAGCATCTTCCCTCTGGATGTTGGCGGATCACCAGTTGTCTACACACAACCCCTCCTCCGGCTAGCTTTCTTTGGATCTCTACCCTCGGCTTCCTCTCCTTTATGGTGGCATCTTTCGGATTGTGGTGACTCTTCTTTCGCTAAAACCATTAAAGAGTGTGAGTGAGGGAAACTCGAGGTAACTTTTCTCTTTGTTACGTGGTGGATTGTTAGTTTATTGCACTAACGTTTTTCATTATATAATTGATATTATTTTGAGATATTGTTCTTCTGTTGTGTAATTACTTGCCATATCAATTTAAACAATTTTAAATTCATAAAATCTCTTCAAAGTGAAACAGTAGTTGAAGTTACAACGTTTAATTCATTATCTATAAATTTCTACGTGCAATTCCTTATTGGTTTCACATCACCTATAAACTTTGCATAATTTTGAAACACATTATATTTATCTTATTTATAATCCTTAAATTGATCATACAGTTGATCGCTATATTCACTTAATAATAAGTGTTGGCCACTTGGCCTTTATATGCTTCATATCAATCTATGATAATTTACATGTCTTTATAATTTGGATATTGTATGTTGTGCGAGTATTCGCTGATGGGTATGAGATGTGAGGGATGGCTGACAGAAGCAATTGGGCTTGTGTTCATGTGATGTAGAGGCTGTTCTAGCTGGATGGGTAGGGAGTGTGTTTGGCCAAGCGTAGAGATACTCTCGGTTGAGTTAGTTGATTGGTTATGTTGGGACTGGTAGGGGAGAAGATCGAAGGCTTGGATCTATCTGAGGTGATAGCAGGAGTTCGGGTTTAGCATGAAGGAGAGTTGCTTGTTGGTGGGTGTTTGAACAATGAATATGTGCACGGGCGATTTTTGCTGTGTACGATGGGAGAAGCAGGCTTTGTGCAACAGAGAAGAGGGAGGAATGGTGTTGTGAGCGAATCAAAGAGTGAAGGGAGGCTATGTTGCACCGATACTCCCATTTACGAAGGCGTGCTGTATCCAATACACCGATACACGGATACGCCTCTGATA